AGGAAGATACTCTGGGGAAGGAAATTGCACCCTGCTCCGGTATTCTTGCTTGGGGAATTCCATGGACAGAGGAGCCTGGCAGGTCACAAAGAGCTGGACACGACTTAGCGACTAAATGAGAACAACAGTGTCCATAGAACACACACCGCGTATTTTGTAGATGGGAAGTCGAGGCCCAGGGAGGGGATGAATGACCTGGAAAAGTGTGACTGGAGAGGGGCAGAGTTCCCACTCCCTGGCCCCTAATCAGTGTTCCTGCTGCTGTATCAGGGCTTTTGAGAATCCCAGGCTCCGTGTGTCCCCTCGCTCTTGCGGTGACCGGTTAACAGCTCTCACGTGGCCTCATGGCCTGAGATGCCTCCGCCTGCTGCCTTCCCAGCCCCCGAGGTCACCTTCTTCGCTCCTCTGAGCAAATCTCAGTCTTGGCTTTGCTGGAACCCATGGAGTCCAGCTCGTTGCTGACTGGCTCCTGGGTCCATTGAACTGGAAAGGTATTTGCCTGCCCGCCTCCCCGCCCCGGCCCCTTGGTCCTTTGTTACTCATTGACCCGAGTGGTGGCGCATTGGGTCTGATTGCTGGAAATCCATGTGACACCTGCTGAACCTTTTTTCTGTGTCCCCTCCTTGCTGGGCCACTCGGGGACTAAGAATGTTTAAAATACAGACCGTGTCCCCACAGATGGCCCTGGGTCTCTGAGGCAACCAGCGAAGTGCACTGACAAATGAAGCAGCTGTTTGCCCGATTCTGTGTGCCGTGGTTGCATTGACGGCCCTGCACTACTCGCTGGGAGCAGGAGTTATTATGCCCATTTTACAGATGAGCAAACTGAGGCTCAGAGGTTAGATCACAGAACCAATCAATGGTGATGTTCAGGTATGACCCTCAGATTTTCCCCCTGCCCCCACCCCCCACCTCCCACCCCACTAACTTCTGGCTACCTTTCACTTCTGCAATATTGATTTTCTCAGAATTCCTTCTGGGCAGGCAGGTGGGAAAGGAAGAAGAGGTATAAACCAGTCTGGCAGCTGGCGTTGTGACCTGGAACCCTGTTGTGTGCCCTGAGTGGGGTTTTGGCAGAAGGAGGCCTGTCCCAACCTCATTTCCTGTGTGGAGTGGCTTCCCTCTGTGCTGAGACAGAGTCCACCCTACAGGATGGCGCGGGGGGCTGGGCGTCAGACACCTGGGCTCCCACCACCATGCCCCGTGCGGCCTGGCCCCCTGCAGGACTGCCGCCTGCAGCCCTCTGCCCCCTGCAGCGCTGCCTGGGCCCTCTGTGCTAGGACTTTGCAGGAGGCGGTGGAGAAGGGCAGGCTTGGCATCCAGTGCTTGGCCTCAAACCCAGGGAGACAGCTTGTTGAGCCCAGTGGGGCTGCAGGTTGGCTGCGGGGGGTGACCCCAGGTGTGAGCACCCTCTGAGTGGAGCCTGAAGGGGACAGGGCCGGGGGCACCAGCCTTGGCACCCCAACCAGGTCAACCTCCGTTCTACGCCTGACTTGTCACATAGTCGGGTCTCATCACAGAGCTGTGATAGGTCCTTTCTCGATTCACTCTGTGTCTGGCACATGACAACGGCTGTGCAGGAAAACTACCTCCGAGTAAACCTTCCTACAGTACATGCTTCCTGGAGCTCAGATGGGCTCTGAGGGCTGGCCTTGCCTCGTGGGGGGCAGACGATAAGGAGGGGGAACATGAGGAGTTGCTGGGAGGTGTCCCTGGCTTCATCTAAAACATGTCAGCTTTCTTCTTAAAAACAGTTTTATATGTTGAACTTCCTTATAAGGTTTCCTCTAGACCCCCAGCTTCTGAAACAAAAGTTTGCAGAGTTTATTGATGAATGCAACAGAGATGGGGTTAAGGGCTGGCCTCAAGGGGCCTAAGTCTGCAGATAGCACCCTAGCTCAGAGATCTGGGTGGAGGGCCTGGGGGTCCCGGGGCTCAAGGTGCACCTTCTACAGCCCGTTTGGATGGTCTTGGGAATCGCAGGCAGTGAGTGACCTGGCTGGAGGTCCTGGCTGAGCTCCCCTGTTGGGATGTGTCCAGTTACAGTTAGCAGCTACAGGCTGCCCCAGGCCTGCGGGAACCGCACCTCCTTCCCACCCCCACCCCCCAGGGCACAGGAGAACCTGGAGTGCCCTCTGCTTTATCTGGTCTCCCTGCAGACCTCAGAGCCCTGGGGTTCTCACTGCTGCTTCTTGGTCTGGGCCCAGGGCGTTTCAGCCCCTTCACTCCTGGGGCCAGATACTTCTGCTGTGGGGCTGCCCTGTGCCCCCGTGGGGTGGTCAGCAGCCGCCCTGGCCTGCATCCGCTGGATGCTAGCAGCATCTCCCAGTCGTGCCGATCAAGAATGTCTCCAGACATCGCCAGATGGGGGGACAGAATCACCCTCGTCTGGACAAAAAACTGGGATTGTCCTCTCTGAGCCTCCCCAGGGCCCCAAGCACATGACGGGTGGGGTCCCTGAGGCCTCCTCCAGCTTCCGAAAAGGAGCAGTTCTCAAATACTGATGTTTAAGGGGGATTCACCAGTTTTCAAGCCGCTGTCTCCTGGGGTCTGGGAAGCTGAGTTGTAGGAGGAAGAGAAGGTGTGGGGTAAAGGGATGTCTCCGGGAGCATGTTTGGGAAGCCAGGAAAGCTGGACCTGAACTCTTTCTGTTTCTGAGGGAAGGTGAGGGGGTGGTTGAAGGCTGATCTTCCAGTGGGATCACAGTGGAGTCACGACAGCCAGGGAGACTTGACCACACTGGGCTGAGCTACAGCCTGAAAGCTTGAGCCCTTATACATGTAGACCTGTTTTCAAGGCATGTCACTCCTGTGGTTTACTAAACCACATAAGAGTGAACATAAACGCAAACATGGGTCTCGTCTGGACAAACACTGTGGTGCAGTGGGAAAGAATCTGCCTGCCAACACGGGAGACACACGAGATGGAGGTTCGATCCCTCGGTTGGGAAGATCCCCCTGGAGGAGGAAGGGGCAACCCACTCCTGTATTCTTGCCTGGAAAACTCCATGGTCAGGGACACCTGGCAGGTGACAGTCCATGGGATTGCAGAGTCAGATGCGACTGAGTGGTCAGTTGCTGTGAGGCTGCATAAAAGCTGTGCATCTGTCTGATCATTCTGTCTGTTGTGATGCTCGGGGCTACAGGGAGGGAAGGGGATGAGCCAGGTAGGCTGCCTGCCTGTCCTGGGGAGCTGGCAGGTGGGGGTGGAGGCCCAGGGGTAGCCAGAGACCCTGACTTCACCCCTGGGTTCTGAAGGGGCCCCTGTGACATGTGAAGTCCTTTTCCTCTTAGCGTTGCCAGAGCCGTGAGCTTCTGGAAGGCTCTCTGGCCTGTGTAGGCGAGGTGTCCCATGGCCAGGGTCTCGGGACCATGAACACGCTGAGCTAGCAAGGCCGGCAGACCTTGGCTTTTCATGCCTCCTGCCTCCGAGCTGGCAGCCGCCCAGGAATGCTCGCAAATATAAAACCGACTTTGTTTTCGGAATGTTCTGGAGCCTAGACTCCAGAGGCTGCATAAAGGCATTCTTGTGGGGCTGGTTATCTACTGGGGCCTCAGACCAGAGCGTCCCAGGGGATCTGCCCACGGAGCACCACGTGCTGGCATTGGGGGTGGGGGTGGGTGCAGAGCGGCCCCGCTCTGTCACCCGCTGACCCCTGAGAGGTGTTTTGCAAAGAGGGTTCCTCTGGGTGCAGGGAGCTGGGTTCTCAGAGGAGCTGAAATTGGGAAGTTCAGACACTTGTGCTCTCTGTCTGGCTGTTATATCTGTGGAGCCATGGAGAGTTTGGGGTGAGGTCCCCACTCCGGAAAGTAGCAGGTTTTCACCCAGTTCCCGATACAGAAGGTCTGGCTCTGTGACCTGGTGGGGGTCCCTGGTCTCCCATCACTTAACTCCTTCATTCTGTGTCTTCAGCTCTGCCCGCAGCCACCTACCCTTCCTTCTGAGTTCATCACATCTCACACCAATACTGGGGGGCGCTTCAGTCTCTCAGCTTGACTCTTCACCCCTAAGAAGAAATGTTGATGCCTCCAGGTCCCTGATTGAGCTCCCCAGGAGGGAGTGTGCTCAGGACCTGTCGCCTCCAAGCCTCGGTGCCCAGGGAGGTCAGTTACGGTGGCATTTCCACTGCTGGAACTCCTGGCGTCAGAGCCTGGAGGCCCCTTCTGGCCCAGCCCGATCTCTGCCCTCACCCCTGCTTTCCTGCCCCGCTCTGGCTCAAGAAGTACTTTGTGCCTTGAAGATCCTTTTTCTTTCAAAATCTTCCTAAGTGCTCAGTCCTGTCTTCTTGGCTTGAGATAGTCCCTTCTCCTTTCCGCCCCCAGCAGGGAGCAGAGTACCCTGCCCAGAGATGAGCACGGGCAGTCTCTGTGGCCATCCCTCTGTTGGGGACATCCTCCTGTTGGGGATGAAGGAGAGAGCTAGTGCCATGCCTCCCCGTGGCCGGCCTCCGGCACCTTCTGTCCCCTTTTGCTTGTCAAGCTGGGGCTGTCTGACTTTGGGATGTGGCAGCAACGTGGGTCTCCTTCTAAAGTCCAGAGTGAAACATCCATCCTTGGTGCGGTGAGTGGGTCTGGCCTGGGTGTCAGGGCCTGGTTTTGAGTGTCATGGTGGTTTAGTGGCTAAGTTGTATCCACTTCTTGTGACCCCACGGACCTTTAGCCTTGGCAGGCTCCTCTGTCTGTGGGATTCTCCAGGCAAGAGTACTGGAGTGGGTTGCCATTTCCTTCTCCAGGGGATCTTCCTGACCCAGGGTTTGAACTCGAGTCTCCTGCATTGCAGGCAGAGTCTTTACCGACTGAGTTGTTCAAAAACCTGTTTCCTGTCCCAGGAAATAGACTTCCCTCCATCCCCAGGGACAAGACTGGGGCCAGGGTGGTGGGCGGGAGGTAGAAACTGCTGGTCTGGGGAGTGAAGGCTCCCTCCCTGGTCTCAGGTTTGCGTCTGTCTGGAAACACCTCTCAGCCGGAATTGCTGACCCCCTGGCCTCTGTCTCTGTGCAGGCGAGTGACAGCAAGGACATGTCTCGGGAGCTGCAGGACGTGGACCTCGCCGAGGTGAAGCCTTTGGTGGAGAAAGGGGAGGTGAGTGGAGAAGCCCTGGATACGCCCCCTCCCATCCCCACTCGTACATGGACATATGTGTGTGCACAGTAGGAACACACTTCCATGTACACACGTGTGCGCATCCATGCACACACACGCACATTTCCACTGCTTCCTGGTTTCCACAGCTCACCTTATCCAGTTGCAAAAGGCCAGGAGGTTCTAGTTCAGGCTCCAGCTTGGCTCGCAAGGGCTGAGGCCCCTCGCCCACCTCCGGCCTTTCTGCCCTCACTGATCTCATTTGTAAAGACAAGGGCATTGAATGAGAGTTCCTGTAAGCACCTCCACCTCTGACATCCTGTGGTCCTAAGCCTGCCACCTGAAGCCTGTTGCCCATCGGCTCTGCCTGCCTCACAGCTGAGTGGTTAAGGGCCCAGACTGCCTGGGTTCAGGTCCTGCTTGTGACACTGCTGCTCCGTGACCACTGGCGAATCCTTCAACCTCTTCATGCTCCAGGTCCCCAACTTTAACAACCAGTGACACTGGGACTAGTGTCATGGGGCCAGGGTGAGGATGGAGTGGGTTACCTCAAGTGGAGCCATTAGACCCTTGTCCACCCTGAAGGGGACCAGCTATGCTCCTGTTCTCTTGATGCTACAATTATCATCCTCTTTTTTTTGCGAAACCCTTCAAGTGAACAAGAACTGCTTGTTGGAAACAGACTCCCCTGCCATATAGCCTAGCCTGGCATGATCCGTCCTGGACTGGTTGTGGATGGATGTGAAAAGCCTTTTCATTTGCACAGTTGACACTGTATTTTTAAACTACGTCCACATCCCAGTTCTCACTGAGTTTTGTAACTGCCTGTGATGAGACACCTTTTGTAAAATGTAAAGCTTGGGTTCAAAAGTGGGGTTACCTTGAGGTGAACTAAATGCTTTCGAAAGTAATAATTAACATACACGAACCACGCCCTGCATGCCGGTTTCTGGACTAATCATACTTCATAGGTTATTTCCTGCTAAATTAAAGGATAAGGCTGTGGCTGATTAGAGACTAGGTTCTGTGATTGTTCCCATTTTACAGAAGAGGAAGCTGAGTTTCCAGGAGGTTCATTTGTCCTTCTCTGTCGGTCACATGGTTACAAAGTGCGGGGTGTGGAGCCAAACTCAGGCCAGCTGCCATTGGTAAATGGATTCACTTAATTCCTTTATGGCTCTACACGTGGCTGCTCTGTCTTAGGTCCATTATTTCATGGACTTTTCTTTTTTTAACTTTTTATTTTGTATTAAGGTATAGCTGATTAACAATGTTGTGATAGTTTCAAGTGAACAGTGAAGGAGCTTAGTCACACACACACATGTATCCATTCTCCCCCAAAGTCCCCTCCAATTCAGGCTGCCACATAACATTGAGCAGAGTTCAGTGTATTACACAGACCTTGTTGGTTATCCATTTTAAATATAGCAGTGTGTGCATGTCATGGACTTTTCTTTATGAAAGTGAGACGCATCTTTCTATTTTCCATTATATAGATAATGGAAACTCATCTTGATAGGAGGAGACTTTCCCAAGGTCATTTGGATAGGATTAGAAGCTAGACCAGGGGAAGCTGCAGAATCCTCGATATCATTCCCATGTGAGGGATCTGCAGACGTCTTCTGAGTTGGATGAGTTGGATGGTGTCTTAGGCTTTGAGGACCCATGGTTTCTGTTGTAACTACTTAGTTTTATAGTTACAGCCTGGAAGCCGCCCTAGGCAGTATGGAAGCCAATGGGCTTACTGTGTTCTAATAAAATTTTATTTGCAAAAAGAAGGTGGAGGAAGGTAGAGGCCCACAGTTTGCCAACTTGAATACTGTTCACTATGTATGCTTCAAATCCATTTCCTCTTCTGTCTGCATCTTTGACACAGTCTTGAAAAAAAAAGAAAAAAGCAAAGCAACAGAAAAACTCCCAGGTGATGCAAATACATATCAGGATCTTTTATAAATAATTTTGTTTATTTATTTGATTTACTTTTGTCCATGCTGGTTCGTTGTTGCTGCCCGGGCTTTTCTCTAGTTGTGGTGCGGGCTTCTCGTTGCAGTGGCTTCTCTCGTTGCGGAGCAGGGGCTCTCGGGCACACGGTTTCAGTAGCTATGGCTCCCAGGCTCTAGACCTGGGGGGCATGTGGGGCCCTCCCGGACCAGGGATCTAACCTGTATCACCAGCACGGGCAGGTGGGTTCTTTACCACTGAGCCAGCAGGGAAGCCCCACATTAACATATTCTTATCCCTCCCCTTTTGAAAAACCACATGAAATGGTATACCACATTTGCTTTGTTTATTTAATCACCCATGTTGGAGACCTTTCCAACATCAGTCCACAGGGCACTTGCTTCTGTCTTTCCAGCTCACAGTCTTCCTCACGTTTATTTGACTAGGGCCCTGTATGTGGACACCTGGGGCCACGTCACTGTTTCCACCAGAGCTGCAGGTGTTCACAGCCTCTTTGGATCCTGCATGTTCGTCATTTCATGCACGTGCAGGTCCTAGATAAATTCCCCAAGTGGCATCACTGAGTCCAAGGGTAGATGCATGTTTACACAGAGCATGTATACATTTTTTAGGCAGCCTAGTGCTGCCCTTGGAAAATTTTATTTCTGAAATAAACATCTAGGAGGTTAGCAACTCCTAGTTACATGTCAGTCTGTCTCTCAGAAGATACTGGCCTTTTCTTTCCAGGTTTAAATGGAAGTAAGCCCTCCATTTCCTTAGACTGACTCAGCAAAGTGTTTTTAATTAGGTTTGCTGTTGGGAAGTTCTTCCTGATGTCCATCCTCCATTGGGATGACCTCTGCACTCTTGTTAACATTGTGAAGGTTAGGGTTGTACGAAGCAGCTTTTCTACTCCCTCCTGTCAATATATACACATGCACAAGTATGTTGGCCACAATTTGCTTCCACTTGAATTTATCAAACTCCCTTCTGTTCTTAACCCCAGCCCCGTAGGTTTGAAGCTATTGATATATATATATGTATATAAATTGGAGGAAAATTGCTTTACAATGTTGTGTTGGTTTCTGCCATACAACAATGCGAATCAGCCATAATCATACATATATCACCTCCCTCTTGAGCCTCATGCCCACCCCTCATCCCACCCCTTACTTTAATCTCCTTCAGCAGTTGGGTGTACAGTTTTAACTCCCAGCCCCTGGCTGTTCCAAGGGGTCGCCTTCCCCTTTCCATCACCTCTTTTTCCTCTTGCTCTGCTGACCTGCCTTCTTTCCTGGTGGTTGGTGGTGGATCCAGCTGGGCTCAGCTTTCAGGGGGTGTTTGAACTCCATCCTGAGCTGGGAGGAAAGGGTGCCATTGTTGGCCAAGGGTGGTTCCAGCCCCAACTTTGACCTGTACTTTCACTGCTCCCCGGGGGACAAGAGCCCTTTTCCCATCTTCCTGGGCTGGGCCTGCCACTGACAACTCTGGTGAAAGATGGAATTTGGGCTGGACAGTCAGGATTGTTGGATGGTGGGGAATGCTCTGCTCTCCTCCCATGAGAGATGGATTTCAATCCAGATGGTGGGCTGCCATGGAAGAAATGTAAAGACAGTGGCGTGATCAACCTTGAACTTTAAAAGTGTAGCGCATGGGTGGAGACAGAGACCAGTTTATAGAGTGTTGTGGTTAGCTTAGACCTTCAGATCTTTTTCACCAAGGCTCTAGTCAAAGAAGAATCCATCTACTGTGTCTGTTTTTCAGTTGGACTGCTATTCTTTGAGATAGAAAGTCTCTTTGGAAAGAAATAGGCTCCACAGAGGACATAGGGTCTATATGATAGACTCAGGGCATGGGGAGGTCTGTGTGTCCAGACATTGCTTCTCTGCCCTGGGAAAGTGATGAAACTGACCATCTCTCTTGTCTCTCCACAGACCATCACTGGCCTCCTGCAGGAGTTTGATGTTCAGGCAAGTAGAAGATGTGGCTTCCCTTCCCCCTCGCCTCTTCTGTCTTCTCGTTTCCCCTTTCTTCCATGGGTTAGATCCGTGTTCAGACGTTAGGGCTAAGGGGAGAGATGGAAGTGGCCTCAGCTGGTTCCCTGCACTCAGCTCCTTCTCCCTGAAAAGAAGTGCGTTTGAGTTCTGACCAAGGAAGCAGGAGCCAGTTAGCCTCCGTGAAAGCCGGACAGAGGTCCAACAGCCCCTTTGACCCTGCAGAGCTGGGCAGAGCTGGAAGGCATGTGCAGAGGAAATGGTGAGATGTTGGGTGGGCTTGGGACCCTGTTGATGCGAAGGCACAGGGGAAGCAAAGGTTTGATGTTCTTGGCTCCACCTGGGAAAGTGAAACCAGCTTCTCTGTGGTCTTCCAGCTCCCTGTCTGCTCCAGGTTGGCATGAGAGCAAGAGCGGGGTTGCCTCTGGAGGTTTGTCCAGGAACAAGCTTTCAGGAGAGGGGGTTGACCTCTCTTGGCTGAGGGGTGGGTCAGAACCTCAGGGACTGTAAGTCTTGGACTCCTTATTCCAAAGCTGCTTGGGTTCCTGCACTGCGCTGGGCCCTGAGCACATCCAGGTCACGTGGGCTTCCCGGAGAAGACAGGGCCTCGTACAGGCCGTGCGCAGGCTGGCATGCTCACCTGGCCCTCTGCTTGCCCATCACATGGGTACGCCGGCTTCCAGCCCATCCTGAGTCCTGCGACTCCATCATACCGTTCACCTCCTTCCTCCCCCCAAAGAGCTCCCTGGTCCTCCTGAATCTTGTATTCCAATGATTGGCCCGCCATCCATCAGAGGCTGTGAATCTTGGCATTGTCTTTGGAAGGAAGGGGAAAGAGGGAGTGAGGTTGGAAACAGTGGCTGGTGTGAAGTCAAGGAGGCGAGTGCAAAGAGCGCAGGTGAGGTGTGTGGGCCTCAGTGCGTTACGGGTCATGCTGGCTGTTCCTGCAGCGCACCCTGACCTCGGGCCCCAGGAACCCCTGGGGTATCCGAGGTGTTGGTTTCTGCTCGGCCGTTTGTCCTCTGAGGCTAACACCTCCCGCTGTGTTATGTTGCCTAGTTCAGAACGCACTGATCGCACCGTCATGTGCTCCAGGCCCTGGACACAGAGGCAGACGTGGCCCCTGAAGTCTGCAGGCACACCCCACTGAGCCCCAAGAGCATTAAACAGCCAGGTCACTGTCTTCATTCTCAAAGGTTAGGAAGCTGAGGCTCAGAGGTTAGGTGTGCCTGGTCCGTGGTTGCACGGCTAGCACTGTGCTGTTTGCAATTTGACCGTGAAACCTGCTTCCCCAGCCTCCTGGTCGTGTCTGTGTCAGGGCCGTGAGCAGGAGGCTTGAGCAACGATCAGCAGCCACCATGTGCCATTTGCTTCAGAGGGGCACCGGCTTGGCTTGAAGGTGACTCTGTGAGCTAGCAGGGAAGCTCCCTGCCCGAGGGAGGGCCTTCCAGCCTGGGCCCGCGAGCCTCCCCTGCTGTCAGCGGGTGTCCGGGGCAGGCCACAGGGGCAGCTTGGGCTGGGCCAGGTCGTTCCCACACTAGGTGTTTGTGGTTAAAAGCAGCTGAGTCGAGAGATACCCTCTCATCCTTCAGGAGCGTCTCCCTGACTCATCAGCCCGGGTTTACAGCATCGCTGCTGTCCCAGCCTCTCGGTACCTCCGCAGCGGATGCACCCAGACCAGGGCTGGCATCTCCCCGTTTTATGAATGAAGGAACTGAGCCGCCCAGACAGTGAGACTTGCCACGGTCAGGCTGCAGCTGAGATGTCGTGGCATCCTGAACAAAAGCATCTTTTCCCCCACCCTTTTTGAGTCAGGTCAACTGGATTTAATTCTAGCTGACCTTTTCAAGGTGTGTGCCCTTGAGCAAGTTACTCAGAACTTCTGAACCAGTTACCTGCCCTCTGTAACGCAACAGTAAGAACGGATGCTTTTGAGTCCTAACTGTGTGCCAGGTACTGTTCTAAGCACCCTGCCCTTATTTAATCAAATATGTTGATTTACTCTTCATAAGAGCCCTGGTTGTGGCGGGGGGGTGGGGGCGGTTCTGCTATCGTCTTATTACAGATGAGCAGTGCCTCCAAGTCACGCAGCCAGGGAGGCCCCCGGATTTCATGTTCCCCTTTCTCCTGGGTATAACTCAGACTCCAGTGACTTTCATGGCTGTGTTTACTGCTCAGGAAGCAGAGACCACGCTCTTGCAGGTTACAGGCATGGATGGATGTATGGACGTGACGGTTAGACTCTGGGGCCTGGAGGCCTCCTGAGCCACCAGCTCCCTCCAGCACAGGTCCCTGGGGCGTGGGAAGAAACATGATCAGAACTTCCAGGCACACTTTCTCCTCTGGGGTCACTGCAGGTGGGAACATCAGTGGGGTGGTCTTGGCTGAATCTGCAGCCCCTCTAGAGCTGGAAGCCGGGCCACCTGGTGGGCTGAGCCCACCTTTTGTGCAGGGGAACAGTGAGAGGGCACTGGGATGGGTGGGGCTGCTCCCCAGGGTCTGAGACTTGAGACAGGAGTGGAGGCTGTGAGTAACTCAGGCCCTGGGACAGAGGCTAGTCTTCCACCCCCACCATCACCTGCTGTGTCTAGTTCTTTTGTCCCACTGTGACTCAGACTATCAGCTCCCTCCCCTTCTAGGCCATCAGAGGGCGGGGTTGCCTGAACCCATCACTTCACTGGCTGCTTCAGCACCCAGTACACAGACCTTGGTCCTCAAGGAGCACACGGTCTCATGGGACATGCTGGTCATACTCTTTACAGCACTGGTTTAAGAAGAGAATCAGGGCTGGAAAGTCACTTGCCTGAGGTCCCCCTGCAGTGACAAGAATGTGGCAGCAGACCCCGGGCCTTCTCTCTCCTGGCTTTGAGAGCCTCCTGTTCTGCATCACCTGATGAGGCTGCCTTAATGATGCTTCCTGTGAGCCAGGCCCTGTGCTAAGGGCTTCCCAGCCAGTATCTCACTTAACGCTTCAACAATAGCATAAGCAGAAGTGCCATTATCCCCATCACTCAGATGGGGATACTGAGGCTGGAGGGTGGAGCCAGGCATCACTCCCAAATCTGTCTCAGCAGAGAGGGAGCTTGTGCTCTCACTGTGTGGTTTACAGGCCGAGGTCTCTGTCTGCCCCATCCCTGGGCCAGAGCTCCGTCTCCTGGTCTCTTTCTCAGGACTCTGGGCATGTGGGGGTGCTGGGGACAGTGGGAGGTGAATAGACTGTCTTCAGGCGTCCCAGGTCTAGCTCATGCAGACCCTCCTTCTACAGCGGGAGAAGCTGAAGGACAGAGAGAGGGGAATCGCTTGTGCAATGCTGTGCAGTAGGGGAGCTAACAGGTGACATCAGATCCTCGTCTGGCCATTTCCCACCATCATGAAAATAGGGTTGCAGGGCGGAAGGGCTGGAAAGACGCAACAGCTATGCCAGCCATGGCCCTGGCTGTCTGGTGGGCTCTGAGGGCAGTTGGGCTGGAGCGGCAGTCCCAGGGGCCAGCTGATCGTTCAGGGCTGGCTGGGTGGGGCCCGGGACAGGGAGGCAAACCTACTTTCTCTGTCACTGAAATGTCAGCTCTTGTCCCCAGCCCTGCCTTCCACAGGAAGCAGCTCTCAGGTCTGTGGTTTTGTCTTCCTGCAGCAGCCTTGTGATGTCTGTCTCCCCCAGGGTCAAGGCCACAGAGCACCCAGACTCTGCGTATTCGAGAGCCAGGTTTGCCCTTTCCTGGCTGCCTGGCCCAGAGCAAGATGCTTCACCTCCCTCAGGCCTCAGTTTCCCCATCTGCCACATGGGGACCAAGACTCCAGCTAGTGCAGAGGGAACCTGGTGTGATGTTTCCCAGTCAGTGTTGGCCCAATAACACACCTGGTTTTTCCAATTGTTTTTTTGTGTGTTGAAATACATATATAACCTAGGGTTTGTCCGATGGCATAGCTGCAAAGACTCCTCCTATAATACAGGAAATGCAGGAGATGCGGGGTTTGGATGATCCCCTGGAGGAGGAAATGGTAACCCACTCCACTATTCTTGGGTTTCCCTGGTGGCTTAGCTGGTAAAGAATCTGCTTGCAATGCAAGAGACCTGGGTTTGATCCCTGGATCGGGAAGATCCCCTAGAGAAGGGAAAGGCTACCCACTCCAGTATTCTGGCCTGGAGAATTCCATGGACTGTATAGTCCTTGGGGTCTCAAAAAGCTGGACATGACTGAGCAACTTTCACTTTCTTTCCCTTTCCATTATCGTTTAGCTCAGGATATTGAATATAGTTCCCTGTGCTATATAGGTAGGACCTTGTTGTTTATCCATTATACATGCAATCGTATACATCTACTAACCCCAAACTCCCAATCCATTGCTCTCCCCACCTCCTTCCCCTTGGCAGCCTTCAGAGCTCTTTCCATCTTTTTTCTTAAGTATTTATTTTTTTAAGATGCAGCAGATGTCGGTTCGATCCCTGGGTCGGGAAGATCCCCTGGAGGAGGAAGTGGCAGCCCACCCGGTATTCTTGCCCAGAAAATCCCATGGACTGGCTGTGCTGGGTCTTAGTTGCAGCATACAAATTCCTAGTTGTGGCATGGGATCTTGTTCCCTGATCAGGTATCAAACCCAGGCCCCCTGTATTGGGAGCGTGGAGCGTGGAGGCTTAGCCCCTGAACCACCAGGAAAGTCCCCAGAACTCTTTCCATCTTGCAAAACTGTAACTCTGTCCCCATGAAATACTAATTCCTCATTCCCCTCCCTGCATCCTCTGACAGCCACCATCCTGCTTCCTGTTTCTAGGAGTTTAACTACTCTCAGTACCTCATATAAGTGGCATCATGCAGTATTTGTCCTTTGTGATTAGCTTGTTTCAGTTAATGTAACGTCCTCACGTTTCGTCCATGCTGTAGCCAGTGTCAGCACACCATCCCTTTCTAAGCCTGAGTACTACTGCTCTGTTATATGTCTAGGCTGCATTTTGCTTATCCTTTTATCCGCCAGTGGAT